ATCACTGCGTTCTGAAGGAAGATAGCACAACCACTAAACTTCGCGTCATCTTTGATGGATCAACATCTACCACAATTGGGAATTCGTTAAATGACATTCTAAATTGGACGACATTACTGCGCTTCCGATCTTATCCAGTTGTACTCACCGGCGATATTTGCAAAATGTATCGTTGCGTAAAGGTACCTGACACGGACAGCAATCTGCAATGCATTTTATGGAGGAATTCGCCAGATGATGAGYTGGAAGTTTTCAGGCTTGGTACGGTAACATATGGAACCAGCGTCATTCATGGTACTGGACGGCATAACAGACTGCGACAAGGAATCGCTCATTAGGTTCAATGATGGCAGCGACATTACAAAGACACTTGGCCTTGCGTGGGATCCAGCAACTTCTTTTCTCATATCTAGCTCTAAGCCCTCCAGGCGCTCTGTTCTCTCGTCTATTGCTCGGTTTTACGATCCCCTCGGCCTGGTCGGCCCAGTAATAACGAAGGCTACAATTTTATTGCAACAACTCTGGAGGCGTAAACTTGATTGGGACGAAAGTCTTCCGTCTGCATGTCATGGCATGCATGGCATGGCTAGACATTTGCAGCAACTTTGVCAATGGTCTTAGTAGTGCATTTCCCAGGCTATCATTAATACCAGGATCGAAAGTTGAGGTCCATGGATTCTGCGATGTATTGTATCCAGAGGAAAAAATATCATCAGCAGGTTACTTTGTTCCAAGTCTCGAGTTGCGCCTCTAAAAACGCTCAMGGTTCCCAAGCTGGAACTATGCGGGGCAGAGTTGCTTGCGCGTCTAATGGATGAAGTGGCTCGTTTAGGCATCTTCGCAGACGAGTTTCATTGTTGGTCTGACTAGTAGAGTAGCGCTTTCTTAGATCAATGACGAGCCCGGAAGATTTAACGTTTTTTTTTTTTTTTCAAATCGCATCGCCACGATACAAGATCTCACATCGGCAATGGAATGACACTATACTACAGCGCTGAATCCCGCGGATATATTATCTCGGTGTGCATTGCCCTCGGAGTTAAATGGATCATAACTTTGGTTCAACGGTCCAGGTTTCCACTGTAAGCCCAGATCTCAGTGGCCAGTCTCAGCACTTCCAGAAAGAACTTCAATTGAGCGTCGAAGAATGGTTCGAAGGGAATGGTTCCGTCATCCAGCAGTCTCGCCTCGCTGTCACCGCTCCTTGATGAAATTGGGCTGCTACGTGTCGATGGTCGTCTCAAAAACTCAACTTTGAACTTCGATAGTCGCCATCCTATTATTTTGGCCAAAGTTCATCCAGTAACTAGAGCCAACATAATGCCATCATAATTCCATAAGCGCAACTTGAACGCTGGTCCCCGAGCAGTGCTAACGTTGGTTCGTTCCCAATATTTGCCAATTGGAGGTAGAAATACTGTAGCCAGTGTAATTCAGAGATGTGTAATTTGCTTTCGCGCAAGGCCTCGACTCATTTAGCACATAATGGCAGATCTACCCAAGGATCGAGTCAACGGCTATCGGGTCTTTGGAGTGACTGGAGTCGACTTTTGCGGACCGTTCATTTATAAGCCTGAGGCACGAAACAAGGCGCCTGTGAAATGTTACGTTTGTGTGTTTATTTGTTTTGCTACGAAGGATATCTGGTTGGAGTTTGTCAAAGATTTAACTACCGCGGCATTTTTGCATGCACTTCAACGTATTATATGCACCAGAGGAAAGCCAAGTCAAATCTGATCGACAACGCCACAAACTT